TAAATAAATTATTAAATGCATAAATAAATAAATAAATGTATAAATAAATACTGGAATAAATGAATAAAAGAATGAATAAATAATTAATTAAATGCATGAATAAATAAATAAATAAAAGAATGAATACATAAATGTGGACATAAATAAATGTAGAAATAAATACTGGAATAAATAAATAAATGTGGAAATAAATAAATGTGGAAATAAATACATGTGGAAATACATAAATGTATAAATAAATACTGGAATAAAAAAATAAAAAAAATGAATAAATGTATAAATAAATTTAAGACATTTAATTATTTATGTCCCATTTATTTACCAGTTTTTATTTATCTATTCACGCATTTAATTATTTATATATTTATACTTCTGTCAGATCTCGTCCTCCATAATATAAGCCTATCATTACTATTTTAACACACATCCTTTGTATTGCAGTTGTTGTCAGCTCAGCTGATATTCTATTTCTGTGTATTAATTCAGATTTTTTTCTCTGATTTAGCAGACGACGCAGAGCGTCAGATCGAGGACGACAGTGAATCTGGAGTAGAGGAGGACGGAGATGAGAGTAGTGATGGAGAAGAGGAGGGGGATGAAGACGGAGCCGACGAGGAGGACGAAGACGAAGAAGGAGCCGATGAGGAGGATGAAGACGGAGAGGAGGACGAAGAGGGAGCCGATGAGGAGGAGGATGATGGTGAAGAGGCAGATGCCGAAGACGGAGCGGAGGAAGAGAAGGCTGAAGATGGAGGAGACGGTAACCCGAACGCCGGCTGGGCGGATGCGATGGCAAAAATCCTGGGGAAGAAGACTCCGGAGAGCGAGAGCATCATCCTGATAAAGAACAAAGCGCTGGAGAAGATGAAGGAGAGAGAAAGACAGGAGCAGCTGGAGAGACAGAAACAGGTTCCCTGATTTACAATCATCCTAATCTGTGACACGTGCTAATATTTCACTGTGAATGCTGAAAGTTAATCTCCCAACACTTATAGTTCGAGTCGATGTCTAGCTTTGATAAAGACAGTGTTAATACAATAATTTAATGTGTGTTAATGTGTGTTAATGTGTTACCTGTGTCCTCAGGTGGATAAGAAGCGAACATGGGAAATGATGAGCAGAGTGAAACCTGACGTGGTGAAGGACAGAGAGACAGAGAGAGCTCTGCAGAGAGTGGCCACCAGGTGAGTTAACATTCCTCTACCTCGAGGTGTAACATCACGGATGAACACACAGCGGACTGACCTCTAACTCTGCTTCAGGGGGGTGGTGCAGCTGTTCAACGCCGTCAGGAAGCATCAGAAGACGGTGGATGAGAAGGTGAAGGAGGTTGGAGGATCGGAGAGGAAGAAGGCGAAGCTTTTGTCTTCAGTTTCAAAGAAAGATTTCATTGACGTCCTGAGGGGGAGCGAGGGAAGCCAAACACCCAAAGTGAGTTTAAACTGGGATTATGATTATGTTTTTAATCCTGGGCTGTTTATTTCATGTTTATATTGTTATATCATGCCTGAGCATGGTACGATACAACTGGGACCTAGTGGGAGTTATCCTTTAAAAAAACACTCTGCTCTAATTTCTCTGAACTCTTTTGTACATTTCATTTAGACAATTTAAACTTAGACCCTTAATTAAAGGGATACTTCACCCATTTGCATTAAGCTTTGTATCAATAGAAACATGGTAGTAATTTTGAATGGTTGTGCATCCTGCCCTCATTTTCCCCTGAGACTGGAAAGATCTGTATTTGTAAGTCTGAAAAGGAGCTTCCAGTGACGCAAAAATCGTCATTTTGTGTCATCGGAGGCTGCTGTGGTTAGGACTTAACGTCTATCTCTTGCTTGGAAGCTACGCTAACAGGCTCTGTGGACAAAAGTTGAGAAAAAAGCTGATATGCATGAAGGGGATTTTGAAGTTCTTGTGCTCGAATCGGATGTTCTTGACTATCTCTACGAGTCGCAATATAGCGACGAGCAGTTGAGGCTGCTGCAGCCGAGGCAGAAGACCTGCCTGTCGGCGGCGGTGAGGACGAGGAACCCGGGCCGGCTCGAGCTGGGGCGGAGCATTCTGGGAGTTGTTATCATCCACATGAGCCAAAAACACTCTTTCTGCCTTTTCTCAGTCAAGAAGGCACCAACTTCAAAATGTATTTCACATTTCTACATATATGACCCAATGTCAATACAGATTCATGTTTCAGCTGGTGAAGTATCCCTTTAAGTAAAAACAGAGACCAATGTTCAAAATGCCTGAAATCTCCTTTAAAGTTTAACAGATGTTACTTCTCTGCCACACTGTTGTTTATGTTGTATTTACACTGAGCCGCCACATGGTGTCACTGTAATGTTGTTACAGACTGAGTAACGTGTGTGCGTGTGTGTGCGTGCGTGTGTGTCAGACTCTTGCTCCTGTCGAGGATGAGAAGCCGTCGTGGAGCGTGCTCAGAGACGACTTCATGATGGGAGCCTCCATGAAGGACTGGGACAAACTCAGTGATGAAGAGGCGGGGTCAGGAGGGGCGGCCGAACAGAGTGACTCAGACTGAGAACTCCTCACACACACACACACACACACACACAGCGAAGGGGCCGTGATGCCTTCAGGGACAGTGTGGACAAAAGAACACCTGCAGAGTTCAGAGACAGGAGCCTGCGATGGTGTGAGACAGCTGTTGAAGAACAGCTGATCAGTTTGTCACGCACCGCGCAGAAGAAGAACATGTGGAGTTTATATGAGAAAAAAACATTTAATAGAATCTGATGTTCTGATATTTTTTAATGTAAATAATGTGCAGAGAGTCAGAGGTTTGAAAAGACCAGAAAGGTGGAAAAAGAAGTGCCTGACCCTGAACGTGGAAGTCCTCGGAGGATCTTTGATTTTTTTGCTGAGGTCTGTGATGGAGTCTGTAAATATGAATGTTTTGTAATAAACCACTGATTCATGTATCTGTCCGTGTTCTGGTTCTGAGTGTGTCTCCTGTCCTGTTCACACTTTTCATTTACATCCCTCCTGTCGGATCAGATCACACCCTTAACGATTGGTGTATACGCACCTCGATGGATTCAGGACATTTAAATGCACTGATAAGTCGAGCTACAGTCCAAGCTTGATTGGGCCATTTAATTGGACTTCTCTTGTTCTAGTATGTTGGAGGGAGTATGTATGTCTGAATCTGCTACAGTAGGTGCCGATTCCCCGCCTTACAGCTATTTTCTGTTGGACCTGGTAGGCCTATTTTAGCAAGTTAAATGAACAGAGTGGAAGTGAAAAGGTGTAGGGAGTGGTTTGAGAAGGTCCCAGAGATCACTGGAGACAGCAGTTGGAAAAGAGAAGCTTTTGCTAAAACACAACACAAGCCATGTGCAAAAACCTTCAACTCCTTGAGTGCTCAGGCTGGCTGCAGAAGTCCTGCAAGTCACATAAAATGCAATGTTAATTGGACTTACATAGTTGTTCTCCAGTCTTCTGACTACTCAAAGCGCTCTTACACTGCACTGCAGGCTACACCTACACATATCATCCATCAGGAGTAACTAATCCCATTCATACACCGCCACTGAAGCAGTAGGAGCAATGCGGGGTTAAGTGTCTTGCCCAAGGACAGCTGGGGACCTTCCCTCAACCTTCCGTTTGAGAGGCTATGACTCTACCAACTGTGCTACAGCCACCCTTCAAAATTGCCCGCTTTCAGAGCAGAAAAGAAATCCCTCAGATCCACATCTTTTCCTGTTCATTGCCTGAAAGTTAGTATAAGTCAGCATTTCTGATATGGCGACTTCAAAAGTGTACACTTCAGAAGCAATGACTGACGTCACTGAGTCTACGTCCATGTTTATATAAATCTATGGTCTAGGGTGACACTGGGTGTAAACAGCGTCAAACAGTATGCTGTTATACTGTACACTGGTAGTTTACTGGGGGCTTTTGTTGAGCAAGTTACAACTTGTCGATGAATCATCATATTAAAAAAAAAAAGAGCGGCAGGGTGTGTCCCTCTGTACGACCTGCACCAGTTTACATGCAAACACACACACTCAGCTTTGTGTCTGTGTGTGGAGCAGAGGGTAAACCTACATTAATAATTCATCACACTGAGCACAAACTGTCAATAAATCACAGCAATCATTCCCGAAGGTTGAGCCGCTGCCTTCATGTCTGCACAGAGAGACCACCTCGGACTTCATATGTGAGGGGTTCAAACATGGAAAGGACTCAAACAGTGTTTTGTGAGCTTGTGCAAACAAACAAAAAATGTGCGAGGTTAAACAGACACACTGATGTTTGAATTAGGGTGAGCCCCTCCCCTTAACAAACTGTGTGCATCCTTTAGAGTTCCACCAACATAGAATATACACAGGCCTACTTCTCCATAAACACTTCATCGTTTTAATGACTTCTCTGAACCTACATTTCTTGCACATCCTCTTTCACTTCTTCTCTGCCATGACACCATCAGTAGCACTGTGAAGAAATGTCATTTGTTAAATAGAAAGCACTTTTCCAAACCATAGATTGTAAAGAATGAAGCCTGAGTGACATCACTCATTGGTTATGCTCGAAGCGCTGTCTTAACCTAACTTTCAGTCAGTTAAGCGACAGAGCTGGGACTGAGGCGGATTTTAAGCCTTCTGACAAACAGCAGCAACACCCCCCCCCCCCCCCCCCCCCCCCACTGTGTGATGATAGAGATATGAGCTATTACATGACCTATTCAGACCAATATCATTTTTTTAACCAGGCTGTTACCGCTTGTTCCAAACGAAGCCCATTCAGCAAATTTTGGAAAACATGTCATGAAGAATAGATGTTAGGAGGCAAGACGCGATGTATACAGTCCAACACTATAATGACAGTCTGCCTTTAATATCTATGTTGTGTGTAATTGGACGTATCAAACAACAAGTGGTAAAAAAAAACATAATGGTAAGCAGATAAGAGCATGAAGCAGGCTAAGATCAGCTCACCACAACTTCTTGCTGACATTTCACAAGGGGGGGCTAGCAAGAACATTCTGAGTTTCAGGGAGGAATATTCTGTTGTTTGTGTCCTTAAAGCTGAAGCTCACTCTTAACATTTCAGGAGATTTTGAGGAGTGTTGTGTATGTGTGAAAACATCTAAACAGAGGCATGCTTGGAGTGGTTAGCTTTAATTTATTCTTACATATCACACCAAACAAGGACACTTAATACATTATCATGGTTAAGTTTTTTGCATTTCATGCACTTTGTACTCTTATACAGTATTCTTAGAGAAAATGTGAGTAGGGAGGGATGCAGCCAGGACTCAACAGAACACAGTTTGGTTTTGGGCTACGATGAAGTGGTATATTCATAAAATGACGATATAGCAAAAGTAACGTCACAAATTTGGTTTGTGCAACACTGTAACAAAGAACCTGAGATCTGCATTTTTTAGCTGTCGCCATCTTGGGTTTTTTTTTTTTTTGTAACCGGAAGTGACCATATTTGGTGCACTTCAATGTTCGTTCTTAGAATGCTCTGAGGAGGGGGGTTAGGGTGTCATTTATCAGTAGTTGCTATCTGGAACTACTTACAAAGTGTGATGCTAAATCCACACAATGCTCATTTAAGAGACAGTTTGGATTGTTTGAAGTGGAGTTGTATGAAGTGAGTATTAGGAGTAATAAAAATGATGACAAGGGGAGCAGTTGTTTATAACCTTGTTCAAAAAACAAATTAGGGGGTTCAGATCGGCCTAGCAGTTGGGTCGCGTCGCACGTATGGAGGCTGTATCATGGGCGGTTCTAGGCAGGGGCCAACACTGATCTTGGCCCCCCCTGTGGCCCCCCCCTCCAAAAGGAAGAGCCCCCCTCAAAACACATACACAGTATTTGACTCAACAACCGGACTCACAGTCTAGTATTAAATTCTCTTACTGAGACAAATATAAATCGTGGTATTTAATGACTTGCGCTCTCCCCAATTTCCTACTATATCTGTCCTATTCAATACTTGCCCCCTCAGAGCCATGTACAGCCTTGTTTCTGTGCCGGCACTCCGACTGGTTCCTCAATAAAAGAACAGAGCTGACCGGCTCCTCCTGTGGCTAAAGCACTTACTATGGACAAGTAACTCATACAACCTCATTTCAAAATATCTGAACTATCCCTTTAAGGTGACAGACACTTTAAGTTTAAATTGTTCAGAAACACCGGTGTCACTAAAATCCCTGATTTCTAGAAAATAATAAAGTCAAAGCAGCTTCAGTCTGTTCAGGCAGAGCTGCAACCCTGATTGCCTTTCTTAAAGCAAATGTAAATTACTCTGCATATCTGAGGAAGACAGCGTTTTCAAAGCAGCATTAGTAGAGTTATAGAAGGCCTCAGTAACATCCATGCACCATTTAAGACTTAAAGTGTATATAAGGTATAGTGGTTAAGCCCTTCATTCTCTCATGTGCTTACAGGAGGTTGTGTTATTGTTTTTTTGGCAGCGGTTACATTCTTTGGAGGACTGTAGTGAAAGGGAAGCTTAGTCACAGAGGAGAACTTTTCCTGAGTCAAACTTGCAACATGTCATAGATTTAAGAGTTAAACAGTGGGGAGTGTGTATCCTCACACTGATGCTCTGTTCACTGATTGTCCCTCCTTCATGAACTGACACAAAGACCACACGCTCCTCCTCCTCCCCCTCCTTCAGTGCATCTCCATCCCGTACTCCGAGTCCAGGACGGGTCTCTTCTCCGGGGGGGTTTCCCGGTCCGTCCTCTCCACGCAGCGCTGCAGCGTGCTGTAGCACTGCTCGCTCCTGGAGAAGGTGTAGTGCGCGGAGATCTCCTCCCACGCCTTGTGGCTCGGGAAAGGAAACGCCTCGGGGGCCTTGTTCTCGAAGAAGCTCTGCAGGTTCCTCTCTGCCAGTTTGGTGGCGTAGTCCATGGCGTAGGCGTCGAAGCGCTCCTTCTCTTTCTCCACGTAGCGCTTCCAGAAGGTGAGCTGCAGGTAGCTGACTTTGGAGCGACAGTTCGTGTAGCAGGTTCCCAGGAGGCCGACGACTGCAGCGATGATGATTAAAGACCAGCCCAGGATCTGTGGAGAGACGGGGAAGGTAGAAACTGATGAGAGAAAGCAAAACCCTAACCCTAACCCTTAAGAAATATATACAATGATAGTGTAGATTCCTTTATACGACGGAGGATTAGGGCCACGGTAAAATGTAAATTTACTAGATTGAACTCGTAAATTTAAGAGAATAAAGTCGTACATTTACAAAATTAAACTCGTAAATTTACGAGTTCGAGACCAGTCTGCTCAAAATGATGAAAGTAGAACTCTTAAAGTATTTTCCTCTGCAGACAACTTCCTGCCAGTCAGTGTGGTTCTTTCTTCAGTTTCTTGCAGTATCTTTTCAGGGTGATGATATTTTATGACAATGTGAAGATGATGATCTGCCAACAGCATGTGTAGTTTCATATTGGCATAAGTAAAGCCCCAACACAACTTTTTTCATCTTTTATCGCTCTGCCTTGTTAAAGTGTCTCATGTGCAGAGACAGTTTGTGTCCTGTTCATCATTTTACAGACAAACAAGTTGAAGTGAAAACTTCTCTTGAACTAACTATTTTTACGGACTACACAAGGAAGTATCCTATTTCCTTATTAGTGAAACCTTTAGGACAAGATGCTCCAACAGGATGCTGCTGCTCTTCTGATATAGACTAAAAATAACAACTTTATTCTTCTATTCTTTAAAGACTTTAAACGGTCACACTGGCCAAACAAACTGGACTTCAGCGTTGAAGCGTGCTTGGGCACGGTACGGATGGCCAGTGAGACCGCGCCCTAAGAGTTCTACTTTCATCATTTTCGTGCAGGCTAGTCTCAAACTCGTAGATTTACGAGTTTAATCTTGAAATGTATTTATTTTTGTATTTTTTTAACGTGGCCCTAATCCTCCGTCGTAAGGCACAGTGCTCGTTAAATTCTCAGAAAATACACTGAAACTAGTAAAATGCACATCTCCACTTCGTTCCAATGTTCTGAAAAGATGCATGACACCGCACACTAACCACTGCACCACAAGCGCCCCCCTTTAATGCAGATTGGAAAACCCAAGGATGAACTGTTATGACATCACTATGACATCAAAAACATTTTTTTTTTTACTCCTCCTTGATAAATTAAATCCGAAAGGTGACCTCATATTTTCATATTTCAGTGAATTATGTCCTGTAGCAGCTGTTTTAAAAACACTAAAGCTCCTCCACTCAGATCTACAGGTGACACTTGACAGCTGGATAAGCCTCCCTGTGATTGGTCGGCTCCTCAGGCCGTGCGTCTCACCTGTGACTGAGCTCTGAACATCAGCAGCAGCTCCATGCGCTCGTCGCTCGACAGCTTGGAGCGGTCGCAGGGCACCCGGGCCAGCTCCTCCCGACACTTCATGGTCTTGTTTTTGCAGAAGAGATCCACCACCAGGTTGTCGTCCAGCCCGCTCACCGCACACTCGTAGAAGGTCCCGTTGAGCAGGGCCACACACAGCCACATGATGGGCGCCACGCACGCCCCCGTGAAGATGCTCGTGAAGGCTCGGAGCAGCCGAAGCAGTTCCCCGGGGACACAGCTTCATGGGATTCAGGCAGCAGCCGGTGTAGAGCCTCCACAGTTTGGTGCTGAAGAACAGACCCAGGACCAGCAGCACCGCCGCCGGGCCCAGCAGGAAGGTCAGCCCGTAGGCGAAGTTCTGGTCGTGGTTACAGGGACACTGAAAGGAGACCAAGGTGAAAATCCGCTCCCCGCCTATAGTCAACAGAGCCATGAAGCTGTAGCCAATGGTGGCTTTCTGGTTCAAGAAGAACCTCAGGACAGTCTGGAAGTTATCCATGGTGTCAGCGGGGAGCTTCTGCATACGCTCCACCAGGAAAAAACAAACAAACAAGGAGAGAAAAGTGAGAAAGGCTGAGTGTGTGTGAAGCCGGCGGTCACTCCCCGTCTGCTGTTTCCTCACAGCTCAAGACCAAACACATCCAGCCCCTCCCTTTGGCTTTCTTTTCCTCTCCTCAGGCTCCTCCTTCAATCTATCCGACCGCTCCCTCCAAACATCTGCTCCTTCTCCATGAAGGGAAACTCCCCACACTACTGGTGGGAAAGACCCACTATACACACAATATGATCCCTCTTCATGCTTCCCTCTCCAGATCTAGCCTTGGGGAAACTTTGTTAACCAAAAACCTGCTGATCGAGTTTATGAGTCTGGGGCCGGGAATGCAGTCAGTCGGAAAACGACTTCATGCCGGTAAAAACAAACGTGCAAAAAAAAACACCTTGAAACAGGCGTCATGCGTCTGTTTTTTATTCACTGTCATGCAAACATTTTTTAAATCTTTAATGAGAAAACATGCAAACAGAAGAGACATTCGGTTAATTCAAAACATTCAGTAAATCGTGCAGAAGCAGAACATTCAGACGGTTGAAGCAGTTTTCTGTACAGAACATACCATTGTTACAGAGACAGAGACAGACAGTCAGCTGCAGCAGAAGGAGAGGAGTGAGGAAGTGATCACATCCTCATGGTGGTTTTTTACGTTCCATTACAGCGAGAGTGACGACTCACGCTCACACAAGCAGAAACGTCGTACAGAGAGGAGAGGGAAACATACACCAAACAAACCTCAAACACAACAACATGTGCAGCATGTTTAAAGTCTCAGTTTGTTTGTCTGACTTTTTATTCTGACTGTGTTCACATGATTTACATGAACAAACTGATTTAAACACAGATGCTCTCATGTTGAAAGTATGCGGTATGTGGTGCAACGGTGCACAGGAAGTGGTAAGGCTGGCGAGATTGCACTTCCTGGACAAGCGCACACAGAAATGGTAAAAAACAGATTTGGTACAAGTCAATCTCTGCCTTTAAATGGACTCTTTTTTATTTTATGTGTATGATATTCTCTGTCTTTTTATTACCTGCCTGTCTGCATTAATACAACTGAACCAGTGTCAAGCATCTTTATATACAAAACAACATTTTTGCTGATGTCTTAAAAACATCTTTGTCATGGCTATGGATATGCAAGCAGCTCCCCTTGTTTCTTTTTCCTTTTCCCCTGTCTGCCTGTCTGTCTTTGTGAGTGTGTGTGCTCTGTGTTCATGCTTTACCCTCTGTTATCAAGAGACATGCCACTCACACACATAGGCCTGAAACAAACACACACTCAAACAGGACCCATGGACATGTGTTACTGCAGAGACGTCAGAGCAACAGGGCTGCTTACAGGAAGTGCTACAGTACAGTACCTCTCCATCAACCGGGACAATTTCCATACTTTGGTCCATAGCAGGATTTGAAGCGCTGTGTGTGCGTGCATGTTTGACTTTTTGTGTTTGTGGAGCTCCTGCTGTGCTGTGCTTCTTCAATGCTGAAACACAATGTGAATTCACAGACTGGGAAATTAACTTTACACCATCGCAGAATCAACATGAATGTACTGATGTCTGAGCTTAGTTACGGCACTTTAGCGTAAACACAGTGCTTCTATCTGCCACGCTCACACCCCTACCCTGCCCTGGTAAGCCATCCTCCCCTTCCCTCTTCAACCCTCCAGAATTCGTCAATCCATCTCCCTTTACTCACAATAAGTCTATTAAACTGGTCTTTTTCTGTTGCGCTCAGAAATGCTTCTTCCTGTTGTGCTCATCTTTCTTATGGGGTCCCCCAGAGGTCTATTTTGGGTCTCGTCTTATTCACTGTTTACATGCAATCCCACTTTGTATATATTCCTTATCGTGTACTTATTGCTTTATATGTTTACATTCCTTATTTTATGTATATCTTGATTGCACATTTAATTATTTCTACTGCTGTGGTAGGAACCAAAGTTTGGTTCCTCCTCCACATTGTAATGCATTTCAGCAAAAAGCTGGAGAGAGAATCTGTGTGAAGAAGTGGGGGGGGGGACTGTTTCACTTCTTGTATTTAAGAGTCTTGATAACCTCTTTTTGCACTTTTGCACTTCTTGTTTCGAGGATTTTTGTTCTATTTCACATTGCACTGATTGTTCTCTCTGCCGTTAGCCACATTAATGTCATTGTCCAGAAGGCATGTAGTCATTACTCTCTTTGCTCTTTTCATTGTCTTCACTGGGTCTCTCTGGAGATTGAGACCCCATGTCTGAATTAATGTCAAATCATTTGTACTGATTGTCCTGAGACACCTTCACCACTTGTTCTCGACACTGTTTCACATCCAGATGGTGTTTAGTCATTACACTCTTTTCTCTTTCAAAACAAACAGTCCAAAGAATTATGTGGCACAAGACGTAATAAACATTTATAGACATACATTCTGACACTTTTTTTTAGAAATGTAAAAAAAAGTTTAATAGTTTGAACATTATTACATTCTTGGTACATGATTGTTGTAAACATGAGGCAGACAGTTGTTGTTCAGGTTTTCAGTGGTTAGTTTGTGGTAACACAACAAAAGTGTTTCTGTGCTTTGTTTACCTTATTTCTTCTTAAATATCAACCAGAACGTGTGGTCAGCTGGGTTTAATAAGTGATAATTGTTAAAGAATTTTGTTCTTCCAGGTGTGACGGTCACTGCCTTATCAGGATGTAACTAAGTGATTCTGTCCCCCCTAGTTCTAGTAGAGGAGTTGGATGGTCCAATCGAGGGCACCTGGGTCTGTGTCTGGCAGGGCATAAAAGCCCCACCCCAAGGTAGATTCTCCCTCTCTCTCTCTCTCTCTGGCCTAAAGTTTGACTTGTTCGTTTGTGCTGTGGTTGTGGCCATGGAGCCAGGTTATGACACAGGTTAGTTTTACTGAGAGCGATCGTACTTTACATCTGTCAGGCCACCCCGCCGCTGACATTTTCCAAAGTTGTTATTCAATCAGTGCATGCCTGAAGATCGCACTGGTTGCACAATATTAACATCATCAACCCCCCCCCCCCCTCCCCCCTCCCCCCCTTCACTCGCTCTCAGTGAATTCTCCTGAATATGCATTCACACATCAGCTCACACCGAATTTATGCGGTGGCTTTCATCGAAAAATCCAGATGAAGTTTAAAGTCTAGATGAAAAGAAGCTTTAGGTGAGGGGTCGAAAGGTTGATTTTCCACCCCTTTAAATCCTTTATGATCGCCACGTCTACATTCACATCATGAGATATGGGCGATGACAGCCATCTCACACACGGTTGTTATTAAAATATTTAGAAAAATAAGATCTTTTTTAAGTATTTCTGTGTGAAGTTGAAGTTTTTTTTATTTACAGACCAGACCAGTGGTTCTTTCCCCCCCCCCCAGGATGCAATGAAAAGAAAGTGAGTTGCTATAAAAAATGATAAAATTAATAAAATCCCATCAGATTGGGTCTCGATAAACCTCAGAGTAGACAAACCCTGAGATCTACTCCAGGGGGACTCAGACCTCAGGTTGGGAACAAATGGACGAGACGGTTCATCCATGTTGAAACATCTCCTCACACCTCCTCACACCCCTATCTGGCCTTCATCTACAAAACCCAGAACAGGAGGGTTGATACCTCCATGCGAGTCAACCGACTTCATTGAAGCCATCCTCATCAGCGAGTCGTCCTCCGTCTTGCTCTCCACGTAGCGGTGCAAGGTACTGTAGTAGTGGTCTTTGGCGCTGAACTTGTACAGGGAGGAGATCTTCTCCCAGTCCTTATTGGAGGGGGTTTTGATGTCTTCAGGCGGCGTGCCGTTGAAGAAGCTCTTCAGGTTCCTCTCAGCGAGCTCCTTGGCGTGTTTGGCCGAGAAAGAATCGATCATGCAACTCTCCTGCTGAGCGTACATCCTCCAGAACTTGAGCTGCAGGTAGCTGATGGGGGAGGCGCAGCGAGCCATGCAGCCGAGCAGCAGGTTGGACAACATGATGGAGGCGATAAGCAGCCAACCCAGAATCTGTGGACAACAGAAACACGCAGAAGAGGGTTTTCATCGATTTAAACACAAAATATTTTAAATGTCGCTTATTTTCAACCATTAATTAACAGGAGATCAAAATGTTTTATTCAGGTTTGTATGATAACTGTGTCAGTGCTGTGGATGTCTGTCTGCAGCAAAACCCAAAGTTAACACTGAAGAACCATAAACTGTAGTTCATTGAGTGTCCACTAGAGGCTGTCTCCAGAAGTGAGTCACTCCCCATAGAGCCCCATGTTAAAATGTCCAACTCCACAGCAGGAATTAACATGTTTTCAGCCTCGTACAAAAATACAGTTTTGGCCGTAGAACTCGTTTCCAGTGTACCGGTGAGTTTTTATACAACTCACGTGTTGAAAGTAGACTTGAAGTTATGTTTAATAAGGGTATGGACTCTTTGATTGACAGGTGGGGGCTGCTAGCCATTTGATAGGTGTCACTTCAGCTTAGTCAAATAAGAAAAATGTTCTTTCCAAAATGTTTTCTTCCAGCTAACGAACACTGATGCTCCGTACCAGTCGGGTCATACTCAAAGAAGAAGAAAGTTGAATTTCCAGTCCAGGTAAAAAATGTTTATTGAAGCAAGCAGACATGGTTTTATTTTGTCTCTGGCTCGGTCTCAATTTGGGGCTTTTAATCCTTTCAACGGGCACACTTGAAGACCAATTCTGTCACATTGTAGTGCATCCTTTGTGGCCTAACATATCCCAAGATTTGTTGCGCACCACTTCAAACAGACTCTGAAGCAGCCGAGTCAGACACTTTTAAATGTGAGTATTTGGTTTCAACTCAAAGAGGACATGAATCTTCACGTTACCTTCAGAATGATTTGTTGAGTTGTAGGTGATGTCGTTATGTTATGCACAGATTGTGAATAAGCAATTTCTTCATAATTCATAGTGGAGGAATGAAAGGTCAGATCAGGGGTTCTCAAAGTGTTTTAGCACGTGACCCCTCAAAATAAGGGTGTCAGAGGGGACCCCACTGTCCCTGGAGGAGGTTAAGGCAATTTGCACACACACACACACACACACACACACACACACACACACACACACACACACACACACACACACACGCACACACACAAGCAGGCCTATCAAACCGTGGTAACACAACAAAAAAAAGAACAGCAAAAAAAAAAAGATGTTATAGGCTACATGTTTATTGTAAGAAAGGCTTGAAGCAGAATAGAAATGTCCATGTTTAGACTTTTAGTACTGAGAGGACATATAAGTTTAATAAATAAACACACAGGTGTGTTCATCTTTCTAAGTAAAGAGCAGACACCTAAACTTACATTTGAAGTATTTTTACACATTCATATCTTTAATTTCACTTAATAGTATGGTTTTATTTTTAAAGTACACTATTTTATTTATTTCTAAAATAATGGGTAAATATATAATGATTTAAAATGTGTATTCGTTTTTTTTTTTGGATGTCAACACTTCGGGGACCTCTGAGTTAGAGAACAGATGGAGTATTATTAACGAATTAGATCATAAATCGAACAAACTGATGAATTTCTTGAAGTGATCCCTGATGTTCGCCTGTCTGTTTTTTTGTTTGTTTGGGTTCACTGATGTGTAAACTT